CTTTATTCTGCTAGAGCTCCCATAACAAAATATCATAGACTGGGTGGCTTAGACATCAAACATTTATTTTCTCATAGTTTTGGAAGCTAGAAAAATCCAAGATCAAAGTTCCAGCCAACGCAGTTTCTGGTGAGAGCTCTCTCTGTGGCCCGTAGATGGCTGCCTTCCCACTACAGCCTTGCATGGCCTTTCGTTGAGCATGTGAAGAGAGAGAAAGCAAACCCTCTCCTGTGTCTTCTTGAAACGACACTAATCCCATCAGATCAGGGCCCACTGTAATGACCTCATTTAACCTTAATTACTTCCTTAGAGGCTCCATTTCCAAATATAGTCACACAGACATGAGAGCTTCAACAGATGAATTTGGGGGTGACACATACATTCAGTCCATAACAAAGCTCAATATTCCCTCTCATCTAATTAAAAAAGAGTTAAGAGTCTTCTCTTGCTTTCTGGGTTGGTGTACCCACCTGCTATGGATTACTGCCAGAAACTTGCACCCACATCTATATTTACTTAAGCAGTAACTAGGTAAGGAATCCAGTCCTCCAGACAGGAGGAAGAAGGGTCAATGAAAATGAGAAAGAACTGTCAGAAAGTGAGACTTACTAGTGACTCAGTGAAGGGAATGAGGAAGAGTTAACACTAGCTTAAGACCCCACAGGATGTGGCCCCATCCATGAAGGCAGTCTTATTTAGTTATTCCTGCCCCAGTTTCCTAATCTGTAATACAATCTCATTGGGTTGTATGAGGGCTAAATGAGAACACATGTAAAGTGCTAAAACAGGGCCTAGCCTGTAGTAAGTTCTCAGGCAGCGTTAGCTATAGTTACACTTCCCAGCCTTATGTTCTAACCAGCCTGCACATTTGCATTCCAGATTCCAAGTCCTTGTTCATGTTGTTACGTCTATCTGGAATGGCCTTTCCAGTCTCCTCCACCTACACATGCTACAACATCCTATTCAGGCCCTACTTTCTCCACAAGGCCTTCTGGGTCCAAATATGACATTTACCACCCATTCAATTCATCTTAAGTAACACTGTTGATTAGGTAGTTAACCATCTTAAACTTTTGAGAAACTATTTCTTAATTTTTATGTTTTTCAGTGTCTAATATAATGCTACACTGTGTATGTTCAGCAAATCCTGATGAAGAAAGGAAGGGGAGAAAAATCTGAATTCTGGGCAATAAAAAGGTAAAGGTAAAGGTAAACCTTTACCATCTGAGCCACCTGGCAAGCCCCAAAAGTTCACCTGAACCTCAACACAGTGCTTCTCAACTCCAGTTTCCCAAAATGCCAAGAGGTCTTGCTAGGATGATCAACAAAATGCTCTGTAAATTCTCAAAACAAGATTACTTTTAATTATACTTCAGTTCTAAAGCAAACCCACATCTGTCACATAGCACTTTCAGAAGAATGGAATGTTATGAAATCAAAGTAAAGGGGCAACACAACCCCCCAAAAGTCTGGGAACCATTGATAATGCTGGTTCTGGTAAAGTGGTATGGAGAGAAGCAGACAGCCTACAGTCAGCAGAGCAGCAAAGGCAGTGAGAAACAGATGCAGAGCACAGAAAACTTGGTAGTATCCATTTCACACTGGGCACATACACTGCTATTGTCAACGATCTTGTCAGGGAGGGATCACTAACTCCAGGTCTGCCTGACTTCCAAGTCATGCCCTTTCCCTAATCCTCACTGCCTATTTTGTTCATGAGAAGGGGTGTTGCACTTAAAGATGTCCTGTGGCCCAGTTGAATATGCCTTCTGGCCATCTTCATAGAGATGGTGTTCTTTGCTGCTTGAGGGAAGGTAACGGATTTTATTTTAGGAAGCTGGGAGGGCCTCAAGAGGAAAAGAATAAAGAGGAATGAAAGTGGGGGTGCGAGTGGGGGAGGTGAGAGGTGAGCCTCTGACCTGGGAAGTAGTCTACAGGATGTAGTTTAAGGGAAACCAGTTAATTCTCCTTGTCCCCAAATAGCTCCTCGCCAACACATTAAGGTGCCAAGAATCAGCACCATTATGGCCTTATGGTTTAAAGTCTTATTTTCAGCAGGCCTTTAAAATACATGCATTATGTGAAAAGAGTAAAGAATTGGGTGACCACGTAACCAACCTGCGCAAGATGGGGGCCCCTGGATCTGGCATGGCAGAGTACCTCTTTGACAAGCACACCCTGGGACACAGTGAGAGCTAAGCCTCAGGCTGGCTTCCCACAGCCACAGGGGTGACTCCTGGTCACCAAGGCAGTGCATGCATATTTGGGTTACCTTCACCTTTTCTATAAGTTGTAACAAAACATCTACTTAAGTTCTTTCTTTAGTACCATTCCTTCAAATAAAGTAATTTGGTACCCAAAAAAAAAAAAAAAAAAAAAAAACAAGGAACCCATCAACAACATAGAAATTTATAAGTTTAGTCATCACCTGGAGTGACATGACAGGAAGGCATCAGAATCTGATAGAATGAGAAAATGGCAGGTTTAGAAAGTAGGAAAGGTCCACAGCTTAGAGTGTGTTTCTGAAGTCTCTCTGAAAGGGGAAGGGTGGTGGTAATGGGCACCTGGTGAGGATAGAGGAAAATGGCTGTGGAAGGATGTAAAGGTAAACTTAGTTGTTTCGCCGCTAACATGGGCTGTAGCCTGCCAGGCTCCACTGTCCATGGGATTTCCCAGGCAAGAATACTGGAGTGGGTTGCTATTTCCTTCTCCAGAGGATCTTCCCCACCCAGGGATTGAACTTGCATCTCCTGCTTGGCAGGTGGATTCTTTACCGCTGAGCAAAAGTAAACTTCTGTTTCCAAAAGTTGGTTTTATCAAGCACTACCTGGAACCCTAAGTATGCTTTCACCTCCAAACACTGAACTCAAAGGGGCCCAGGGTGAGGGAGATAAGTAGGCTACTTGGATGCACATGAAAGTCTGGATTATTACAGCCTACAATATACCTCTAGCTTCCAGGAACCCTGGAGCTAAACCAAGAACGAGGGATGCAAAAGCGCCACTTTCCAAATGAGAGGCAGGTGGGCTCCTCACCAGCCTTTGACACCTGTGGCTCAGCTCTGGCAGTTTAACAGGCCCATCCACCCCCTCTTGCCTCTGGGGAGAAGGTTCTTTTGCACAAATCCATCCACCATCTGTACAGCGTATAGTTCCTCTTTCCTCGGGCCTAGAAGGGAACCGATCCTGAAGGCCACTAGAGGGCAGTGTATAGCAGGGACCTTGCCCTGGAAGAGCACAGCTGCTACAGGGAAGGGTGGGCTTCTGGTGGTACCATCAACACTTAACCATCCTCCAGGCCCTGACACTCTCCTTCCAGTGCACTGCAACTCCCTCGGAGCCTCCATTCCTAACTCAGAGGCACCTTCCTGCCTAGATTCCAGGGAAAGCAGAGCTAGCAATGATGGGAGAGGAGAGAGGGGAAAGGGGAAGGAAGCCAATAGAAACAACAAACAGGATAGCTGATCAGAAAGGGGGCTCAGTTTTTAATTTCTGCATTCCCTTGCTTGGAGAGCCTATGTCCCCTCTGCTGCCCTACGTTTGGGCTGAAGTTGCTCTCTGTGCTCAGCCCATCAGGAAGAACAGGTTCTAACCCTCTGTGCAGGTTCTTTCTCTTGATCAAGAATGTATGGAGACTACTAGTTATGAATTAGCTATGGTTTTTCCAGTAGTCATGTATGGATGTGAGAGTTGGACTATAAAGAAAGCTGAGCACCAAAGAATTGATGCTTTTGAACTGTGGAGTTGGAGAAGACTCTTGAGAGCCCCTTGGACAGCAAGGAAATCTAACCAGTCCATCCTAAAGGAAATCAGTCCTGAATATTCATTGGAAGGACTAATGCTGAAGCTGAAACTCTAATACTTTGGCCACCTGATGCAAACAACTGACTCATTTGAAAAGACCCTGATGCTGGGAAAGACTGAAGGCGGGAGAAGGGGATGACAGAGGCTGAGATGGTTGGATGGCGTCACCAACTCAATGGACATGAGTTTGAGTAAACTCCGGGAGTTGGTGATGGAGAGGGAGGCTGGCGTGCTGCAGTTCATGGGATTGTAAAGAGTCGGACATGACTGAGAGACTGAACTGAGCTGAGGGATTGCCATGAGTTGTCAGTTGGTCCAGTGACCTTCCAGAAAAAAAAAAAAAATCAGTCCCAGGTAGACACCACCCCCCAGCCCCCCACTGTGCACACACCAGAGTAGAATGCAGGTTATGGTGATTCTTGAGCTGGGGAGACTGCAGGCTAACAAATGGGAGACAGAATTCTTTAAGTATCAGTACCTAAAATGGCTTGAACCTCCTTTGGAGCCCCTATGAACAGAGAAAGAATGCGTTTGAGTTGTCGTGTTCTTTGGATAACCCTGGTTTCTTGAACAGTCGGGTATGCAGACACGTGGGCAGAATGCTAGTCCTCTCTGGTGGGAAAAAGAACTAGCAGCCTAGAAAAGGGCAGACTCTTCTGGTCTCTGTTGCTGGTCGACTGGGATGCCTCCAGAGAGGAGGAAGCAAGGCAGGACGACCTGCTGGGAAACAAGGGGGGATGGGAAGTAAGGTATGGTCCCCTTTCTCCATACCCCTCCCCCAATCTGGAGGCAAATCACCATCTGAATAGAGATATTTCCCAATAAGTTCCTGGAACCCTTCCTTTTATTAGCCCACTTGTAGGAAAATGTTATGATCGTGCCTCAGCCCCTCATCTTGCCAGGCTGGGCAAGCAGATCATTATATTACAATTTATAAATAGAAAATAAAATAAAATAATCGAGTGGGGCTGAGGCACTGGGGAATAAGAGGAGAAACAGTTCTCGTCAAGGAGTATCCATCATCAACCTCACCTACCTAGGACCCAACCTCACAATTAGAGGTTGCCCCTAAATCATCTCATCCATTTTCTCCCTACCCCTCCCCCCCATCAGCATCGTCTGCTGCGCATATCCCCGGATCTCAGCCCTCACGCTCGCGTTTAGGCGGGTGCCACAAGGTTTCTATGCCTGGAACCCTCAGTCCAGCAGCTCCTCAGCCAAGCGATAGAGTAACCGAGAGTACCAATGCATGCCAGTCGGCTGGACGGCCCCGCCCGGAAGCAGCGCCCCCAGCGCGTGCAGCAGGCGCAAGGGAGCAAAGGCACGGTGCGCCCACTGGTGACTCTCCAGAACCGCGTAGCATGAGGCCAGGACATCGTTGACCAGCAGCGTCCCGTGAGCTGTGAGCGGTGCGAAAACGCCCACGGCTTCCTCCCGCGCCACGCGGGCCACGCGCGCAGGCCGAAGGGCGTCCCCGCCCGGCGCCAGCACCGAGTCCCCCGCGCGCAACCGGCGCGCAAACACTGGTGCAAAGTCGCCTGGTGCGGGCGCTGGCCCCCGAGCCGCGAACACCAAGTGCCAGGGCGTGAGCAACAGCTTGCGCGGGGGTCGCTCGGTCTCCACCGCTACGAAAGAGGCCCGGCGCTGCAAGTCCCGGTCCAGGAAGAGCAACACGGGCGTGGGCACCACCCGGCCGGCCGCGTCTGCCGCCAGCACCCAGTCTCCGCGATGCAGTTCCCGCAGCCCCTTCCGCTCGCCGCTCCGCAGGCGCACGGTGGCATTTCCCGGAAAGCAGCCGCCTGCCCTGACCGCCAGGGAGTTATCTGCAAGGAACAATCAGAGAGAGAGGACTGAAGACCAGCGGTTCCAGAATGTTAGTAAAGATTCTGAAGGACGTGGGTCAAGCTCAGGACAGACTTCACCAGTTCACGAACAACAAGCACGTTCCCCCGGATCGGGTCCCAACCGGGCAGAAATGGAAAGCTGGTTTAACAATGCCCACGCCTCTTTGGTCTCTCCTAGGGTCGCAACCGGGTTGTGCACCCTCAGTTTCCCGAAGGGACCTCACCACCCACCCCTTACTGTACCGGCTTTGACCGACACGTGGACGTGATTGCGGGACTCGTAGTAGACCCAGTCGAAGCCGGCTTCCACGGCCAGGCGCGCCAGCAACCCATACTTGTTGCGGTCGCGGTCGGATGTGGTGATATCCAAGGCACGTCCTTCGTAATGAAGTGAGTCCTGCGCGTGGTGGCCGTCCTCGTCCCAGCCCTCGGTCACCCGTAGGCGCACTCCGGGCCACATGTTCATCACGGCAATGGCCAGCGCGTTCACCCGCTCCTTACAACGCTGGCGGGGAATAAAGTCAGTCTGCTCAGTACCACGACCACCACCACGGGGGCAAAAGCGACCTGGACGGGAGAGTTGATTCTTGTTTTCCCGACGCCCCCCACCCCACCCCTTCCACTCCCTCCTAGATTTTGAGTGCCCTGGGGAAGTGAGAATCTGAATGGGTGTCATCGTTAATCTACGCCCTTCAGGGCGGCTTTGGCGACCTGCGGAGTCACCCTGAGGTTGAAAGGGAGAGCCCAAACCTAGTTCTTTTCCCTACTTTTAATTTCTGCCCTTCATCCCTAGTTGTCCTGGAACCTCAGCTCAACCTGGCAGAGGGCAAGAGAGCGGGTGGGAGCTTGGTCAAGGAAGGGCTGAGCAGCCTGGCTCCGCGAGAGGAGCCCCTGTTTTAGCCTGGCCCCCGCCCCAAGCCCCGGCTGCCCTCCCTCCTCCTGATTCATCTTTTGTTTCGTTGCCTTCCCTGGCACCGGGCACCGCTTCCTTCCTTCCTTCCTCCTCCTCCTTTCAGCCCCTAGCATTAACCCTTTCGTGGTGCGAGTGCCCCCCACAGAGGTGCCCAAGCGGAGCCGTGCGAGATCTAGGCTGCTGGAAAAAGGGCTGGGGTGGCGGGGGCTGCGCGAAGTACAATGGCCATTCTCCGGGATGACTTAACCGAACGAGAATCCCGGGCCGAGGCCGGGGACGCGCCGGGAGAAGCGGACTCAGCAGCTCCATCCACAAAGGCGCTTTTCAGCCGCCCCGGCGCAGAGAGAGGAAAGGGCAGAAAGCCGCGCCCCCCATCCCAGCTCCGGCCCGCCGGGTCCCCTCCCCCAGCGCGGCCAGCCCTCCCATTTCCAGCTCCGGCTCTGCCAGCCCCGAGAGCCCCCCGTCGCTCGGTCTCTTGTTCCAGAGGCCGCGCAGAAAGGCGTGGGAGTAGCACCTGAGACGAACCGAGCTGCCCTTGCGCGGATCTGGGGGGCCCCCTGCAGGGTGGGAGTGGAGAGGTGGTAAAGCAGCCGCGGCTGGAAGCCTGCTCCGGGGGAGGGAGACCACGGTTATCTCGGCTGCTCCAGTCTGGGAGCCGGAGACCTTGGCGCGCACCACAGCACGGACCTCACGGGAGGAGGCGCAGAGGACCGCTTCCTTTTCTTCTCCCCGCTCGGGTCTCTCCTCGGACTTGGTTTTTTCCTAACTGACCAGTGGGACATTCCCCCCTACCCTTCTTTCCCGAGTCTTCTACACCTCCGCAGGGTTGGAGAGGAGGGGAGGGGGAAGACAGGAAAAGTGGTAACTCCTTCCAACTTTTTGTCGTTTTGTCCCCTACGGAGGCCCTGAGGCCTTGACCTGCGGGGGCAGCAGCCCAGTGCAGAGCCAACTCAATGAAGGCCTTTTGCAGCCAGGGTGTAGGAGATAAGCAGGACGGAGGGGGTTCCCGGGCCTGTCAGAAATTCTCCTGGTCCTCTCCCTTGTTCCTCCCCCTCTGCTGCAGGTGGAAGCCAGAGGAAAGGGCCAGGATACCATGACCAAGGAGGGCAGGCGTTTCCCCTTCCCAATATCTGGGTAGGTAAGGCTTCAGGGAATTCTTTCTCCCCTGGACAGGTTTTCCTAACAAAGTAACCTGGAAAACTATGGCAGTTAATCAGAGGAAATCCGTCCCCCTCCCGCTCCCCCCACCTTCCCACTCCATACACAATTAGGTGGTGTAATGGAAAGTGTATAGGACTTAGAATCGGGAGTCCTGAATTCTAGACTTAGCCATGCCACTAATTAGTTTTAAGACTTTGATTAAATCACTTTTCCTCCTGGGGCCCAGCTCGGAGATGTAAAAATGGGAGGTGGAGGATGGAAGAATGTGACCTCCAAGTTTCCTTCCAGGTCTGACAGTTGAGATCACAGGCCAGAGGTGGTCCCTCTCCTCGCACCCTAGGTTGTTGGTTAGGTTCTGGTCTGCGGCAGATGCTCAGTACATACTCGTTGAACTAATTTTAACCCTTTAATTCTAAGGAAGGTCCTTGAGCTAAACTACGTTTGAGGGACACAGGAACCCTTTGGGTCTCAGGTGGGTCCATCTATTCTTCCCATTGGAGATTACTTTTTGCTCCAGGACAGTCGTTTAGACTTTAGATAGATAGCTTTACCCCAGTTCTGGGATGCCTCCCCCATACCAAAGACAATTCCTGCCCAGCCCTTCCTCAGGTAGATGGCCCTGATGATCTGACCCTTGGTCACCACTTTCCAAGCCCCTTCAGTCTCTTTGGCCCTTGAGCTTTAACATTACCAGGTCAGGAGCCAGGCTAAGGGTAGAGCTCTGTCTGCTGCCTAGCCAGCTCCTGGCCCCCAGCTCACCCCAGCCCTTCCTGCCTGGCTCGGTAGCTGACCCCCGGTCCACGCCTCAGCCATTTCCCGTCTCGCCTGCCGCCATCCTCCTTTCCCCGCCCTCCCTGTCTCTCCCAGCTTCACTCTCACTAGTCCCTCCTCCCCCTCCCCAGCCCAGCCTCTGCCTGGATCCCTCTTGATCACTAAATCCAGCCAGCAGAGGTGGTTTTTTTTTTGGGGGGGGGGGTGAGAAGTGGAGGTAGGTCCTTGAGATCAAGGTCTCTATAGATGAAACTCGGCTCAACACCCCTCCTCCCCCAGCTGCCAGAGAAGGGCAGAGAAATTGACGTGCCCTCGAGCAGGTGGGGAGAGGCCCTCCTTACCTCGGTCATCAGGCGGTCTGCACCACTGTTCTCCTCATCCTTGAAGATGATGTCGGGGTTGTAGTTAGGCACCAGGTCCCGGAAGCGCTCAGAACCTCTTGTCACCCTCCCCTCAGCCGGCCCACTGGCGCCCAGGGTCCGCTCGGGCACGCTGGGCACAAATTGCTTGTAGAGCAGCGGCACGAGCTGTTTGCGCACGTAGCGGCGCCGGCCGACCGGTCCCCGGCCCGGCCCGCAGCTCTGAGCCGGCAGCGCCAGAAGTGCCAAGCAGCACAGGGGCACCAGACTGGCCGGCAGCGCCATGGATGCAGCGGACTCGGGCCAAAAGGGAACGTTCTTGTCCTCACCAGCTCGCCCGTCACTTGGGCATCTCCCCAGGCACCAGAGAGCGCAGCAGGCAGAGCTGCCCCAGAGTGCCCTAGAGCTCTGTGGCTCTGCGCACCTGGCTGTTGCTAGCTCTGCCTACATACCCTTGGGGGGTCTGGAACCTGCTACTGACGGGCCATCATAGCAGGGAAGGGGGGGGTCGTGGGTAAGTGCCAACCGGGCCGGGCTCTGCCGCCTGGCTCCGGCGCTGCCAGAACGCCCCGGCTCCGCCTTAAGTGGCCCCTGGCCCCGCCCCCCGCCCTTCTCCCAGGGCCGCCCCGCCCCCTCCCACCAGGGCGGGGGCTCTAGCCGGCCACCGCTGGTCCACTTCATTTCCATCCTGGAAGCCAGGCAGGCACCTGCCTCGGAAATTCTAGCAGCTTTAATCCTTGGCTGCCTGGATAAGCATCCTTCTACCTCTAAGCTTATGTGTGGCACCAAACCATCCTCCTCTGATACTTGAATTAGATCTTTGCTCTCCCCAAGCCTACCCTGAGAGCCCGTCCCCTGCTACCATCTAGGAGGTATGGGATCCAATTTCTGCCCAAGGCCGATAAAGCCCTTTGGGCACACAACTCCCTTCTCTATGTTCTCCTCCAGCCTCCCCCACTTCCATCTCTCCTCCTTAGCAGTAACCAGGACTGGAAGGGATGGGTACCAGAGAACCCTTTTCCCTGGTAGCTTTGTAGTCTACTGCTGGGAGCTTCCTCAGGATCAGGAACAGACCTTCATAGTGATAGTCTGGTTCAGGACTTCAAACTTTTGTCCCCTCTCATCCTTGCCAGATACCCAGTTTGTGGATTGGAAACTGCTGGAGGACAGCAGGTACTTAAAGTCATAGTCTCTAACAGGCTGATGATCACTTCCCTTTACCTTCCATCAGGGAATCTTATTAGGGCTTCCCTGGTGGCTCAGATGGTAAAGAACCTGCCTGCAATGCAGGAGACCCAGGTTCGATTCCTGGGTTGGGAAGATCCCCTGAAGAAGGGAATGGCTACCCACTCTAGTATTCTTGCCTGGAGAGTTCCATTGATAGAGGCGCTGGGCAGGCTATATAGTCCATGGGGTGGCAAAGAGTCAGAAATGACTGAGTGACTAACATACACACACACACAAGGCATCTCTTTATCTTCTTCCTTCTCCAAACCTTCTGGAGCTCTGCTTCTAGCCATTCAGGTCTCTCTCATGTCAAAGGCTTTGAAGTTGCAACACTTCACCCATTATCTACTGTCATTTAGAAGTCTTTCTCTAAGAAGACTTCCCTAATGTCCTGACGCTGGACCTCTTGTTTCCTTGAGAATGAGAAATTAACCACCATTCATTGCAGTATGGTATTAAAATTATGTCACCCTTATTAGGAGGCTTCCCAGGTGGCACTAGTGGTAAAGAACCTGCCTGCCAATGCAGGAGACCTAAGAGATGTGGGTTCAATCCCTGGGTCAAGATCCCCTGGAGAAAGGAATGGCACCCACTCCAGTATATTTGCCTGGAGAACCCCATGGACAGAGGAGTCAGGTGGGCTACAGTATATAGTCACAAAGAGTGACTGAAGCAACTTAGCACGCACATACATAAACATGCACTCTTACTAGACAAAGCAATTCTTAAATACAAACTTAGCTGAGTGCCTGGCCTATAGTAGGTGTTCAGCGAGTATTTGTGGCAACTACATTCTTTTTTTGTATCCTATACTCAACTCAGCTCCATGGCTAGTATTCACAGTAACCTGTGTACCTTAGAAAAAAGCGGGCCTTCCTCAAGTAACTGGCTTGCCCTTTGCAAAAAAATAGTCGTAGTAGCCATTCACACAGTGACTAAGAGGTGAATGATGCCCCTGGAAGTTGTGCAATGTACAATCTGCATAACCATGTGCAGAATCATTGTCCCTACCCCAAACATAGCAGGAGGGCTTGCAGAATATTCAAGGCACTGATAGCCTCTGGAAATACAGAGTTAGGTTCTTCTCAGAGGTAGGAATCACAAACCTTTTTGTCAGGCAGCCCCTTCTTTTACCTCTTCCTATGCTGATGCCCACTTACCCCCAATAACCAAGGCGCCCAAGAAATAAGGCTTGGGTATAAGGAAAAGTCAGGTGACCAGCCAGGTTTTAGCAAGGCCAAGGGAGGAGGAGCTTCCCATTGCCTGATTGTATGGCCTAACACCAGATCCAAGTCCCCAGAGGTCACTGAGAATGCAGATAGAGGAGAGGGAAAGGATGGTGGGAAGGACCCCTCTATTTCCCTCTGTAGACTCAGGACTGGTGGGAGCAAACCTGTTCAAACAGACACAGAGACTGGACCTTTGAAAAAACCAAAGAAAACCCTGGTATCAACTTTATTGCTGATGGTTGTGGCCTCTTCCTCCCTATGCCCTCGTCTCTCCGGCGGTCCACAGCCCCTCCAGGATAGCACAGTGTTTAGGCTCTGCTGGGCCAGAGGCAAGGGAAGACAATCTGCCTCCCAAGTTGGCCACTGGCTCTGACCCTCCCCTGCCCCCCACCCCACTTTATTGCACATCAAATCATGTAAACATGGCTACCGGGCATGGCCCTGAACAGCAGTGAGGCAGATTGACGTGTAAACAGATTTGAGACCAGGAGCCAGACCCAGCCCCCAGCCCCACCCCATGCTGGGGCCCACAGTTAAATCTGGAGAAGCAAGGGGGCCTGGTCCCAAACTCTGGCTCAGATTATGCAGCAGTGCAGAAGGCTCAGCTTCCCTCTGCCGCCCACCCTCTCAGATTCCAGGTCCTGAGGGCCACCCACCCCTGGGCGCCTCTCCAGGCCTGGGCAGCAGATGGCAGTGTCCAGTTTTCTCCCTCCCACCCCCAGCTGGAGGTCACTGGTGCTGGGTCTTCTTAGACACCCGGGGGAAACCAGAGACAGGCAACGGTAGTCTGTCCAGCCCTGGGGAAGAGGCAGGGGGTTAGTCAGAAGCAGGGTTTAGGTGAGTCCTCAGAAGTCACAGAATGGGTGTTGAGTATGCCATCTCCCCTGCTTGGGATGACCACAGTTCCAGACAGTTCCACCTTACAACCACCCCACCAGCCTAGCCCTGACTCCCTCTCACCAAAGGCCCGGATCAGCTCTGCCCGCACAGCTGCCGTGAAGGTCTTTACCAGACAGAGAGTGGTGAGGCCCGCAAAGGCCGCATTGTAGAGGAACACGATGTAGAAATTGCCCAGCCAGTTGAAGCGTCCAAAGTCACCCAGCAGGTCAAAGCGAGTGAGCCCTGAAGTACAAAGGCCAGAATGGGAGGTAGGCTCCCCAACCCTTCCCTGGCTCAGAGCCGAGCTTTCTGCTGCCTCCTGGTGGCCATATCTCAACACTGCAACTAATAAGTTGGCTTCTACACATTGGTTGTTCCTACCTCCCAACTTGTCTCCGGGACAGTTCAGGGCTGTTGAAGCAAGTGTCAGCTGCTAGGCTTGCTCCAACTTCCCTTCCAGAGTCTGGCATCCTCTCCTGCAGAGTGTGTGTGTGTGTGTGTGTGTGTGTGTGTGTTGGGGTTGGGGGGATCCCCTCTGGCTCCAGGTGTCCCAAGGAGCTCCCTGGGCCTGCTCCTTGTTCCTGGGCCAGAAACCTCAAGCTGGTCACCAAGTGTTCTTTTTTAGTAGACAGAGCAGTGTGGTGGCTAAGAAACTGGGCTCTTATTATAGCTGCTTTGGTTCATATCTGAACTCCACCCCATCTAACTGTGATCTGAAGCAACTTCCTTAAACGTCTGTGCCTCAGTTTCTTCAACTATAAAGTAGGGAATTAAAAAAAAACCAAGGAGACAAAATAATGGGACTGTGAGAATTAAATGAGACAACACACATGAGGAACCATATGCACCAGGCACTATTCCAACACTTACTGAGCCCCTAATAATAATAATATAATTATCATATATTAAAATTCTTGAGCCCTTCCCCCACTTAAAAAAATATTCCTTCGAGCTTCCAACCTAAAAGGAACTAACTGCTGGACCCACAGGCCAAGTATCCTAAATCCCACGGCATAAGTAGAAATGGTAGAGTAGAGAGAAAATAAACTTAAAAACCAAATGGAACTGATTTAAATACTAAATAAGGCTTCCCTGGTGGCTCAGATGGTAAGGAATCTGCCTGCAGTGTAGGAGACCTGGGTTTGATTCCTGGGTCAGGAAGATCCCCTGGAGAAGGAAATGGCTACACACTGCAGTATTCTTGCCTGGAGAATCCTATGGACAGAGGAGCCTGGCAGGATACAGTCCATAGGGTTGCAGAGAATTGGACATGACTGATAATGTACAATAGATGGATGATGATGGCGGGGGAGGTGGGGAACATATGCAACTCCCCTACTACCTTGGGGTGAACACTTTTACCAGGTAATGCTCAAAAGTGTAACTGGTTTACCCCATAGTAGCAGGGGAGTCGCATGGGCTCCCCATCTCCCCCACCATCATCTAGATCCTAGGTCTGAAGATGGGGGGAGAACTGAGCTTATCATTTGATGCCCAGTATACAGAAAAAGCACTGGACTGCGGCTCAGGATACAGAGGTTCTGGCCTGACTCAGCCTTGCCTCAGGCTAGCTGTGTAACTCTGAGTAAATCAAGTAGCTCTCCTGTTTCTCATCTCTAAAATGAGAACGTTGGGACTTCCCTGGTGGTCCAGTGGTTAAGACTCGATACTTCCACTGCAGGGGGCATTAGTTCAATCCCTGGTTGGGGAACTAAGATCCTACATGCCCTATGAGTGCAGCCAAAAGAAAAAAAAAAAATGTTTATCGGATGATCCCCCAAAGAAAGATTTGGGGAGAAAGTGGTGCTTCTTCACTGAAAAAATGGAAGTAAATAGGAGAGGCTGTGGGATGTAGCAAATGGAAAAAATATAAGCTATGAAGCAACACTACTCTGAAGCCCAGCACAGAACTTTGTAGAGCCTCTGTTACTCCATTTGTATAATGGAGGTAATACCTCCTCATAGGTTTGTTGTGGGAATCAGAGAGAGCAAGAATATAAAGGGTCTGCTCAGTACCAGTAGCTACTCAAAACAACCCAGTTCCCTTACCTCCTTTTGCTACTTACCCAGGGTTCGAGAGAAGACAGGAAGTGCTGAGCTTAGAACCAGGAGACAGACACAGTTCCCAATTATCTGGGTGGGAGTGAGCCAAGGGGAGGTCAGGGTCACAGAGCTGCCAGCACTGAGTGCCCAGTTACACCCCCAGGATGCTTCCTTCATGCCCGTCTGGCAGGTTCCCAGCTACCTACATCATGGCCTACCTACATCATGGCCTACCTGCGTCATGGCCGTGTCATGCCATCTGGGCCGCAGTCCCCGGAACAGTGGAGAGCTATAGAAGCCCACGACCGAGGAGACCATCAGGTAACTGCCACTGGGTTAGGGAAGAACTGGCCTACTCCCAAGGATCAATGCCTCGTCTCAAAGGAGATGGCCCTCTCTTCCCCCAGCCCTCCTTTTGAATCAAGTGTTCTTCTTTCTGAACCTTGGGCTGGCCAAGTCTTGCCCACTTCCCCCTCACTCCCACTGTAGCTCTGCCCAAAGCCCCAGAGGAGATGGGTTTGAAGAAGAGAGGCAACGGCAGGTTTCCAGAAGGATACAAGATAAGGACGACCTGAATGACGGCACCAAAGGAGCCCAGCTTGGAGAAGGAGACCTGGCCCAGGGAGGCACCCTGAGGGACAAAGAGGTGTCACCACGCAGCACTCCCCATCATCATCAATACCACCAGCACCTGGCCTCCCCTCTGGCCTCCCCTTCTGCCCCCTCACCCAGCCTTGCTCAGGCCCTCCCCAAATGATGTGGTGGGTGGGTGGGAGGGCAGCCCAGTACCTGCATGCCCCGGGGCATGGCAGCCTCGTCAATGAGCAGCTCCAGGATGTGGATGGCCACAATGAGCACAGACAGGCCCTGTGAGAGGCAAGGTCATGGACTCCCACCCCTGTCCCAGCCCACAGATGTATCCAGAGTTGAGAATGTTAAGAGCGAACTCTCTGGTCCATCATTTTCGATTAGCTGTAAGGGACCTCCTGAAGGTTAATGCTAGCAACACAGTACCTTTGAGAGTATCTTATAGTGGACTTACAGGTACAGATGCAAAAAGCCCAAATAGTTTTGTTTGTTTGTTTGGGGTGTTTTTGGACATGCCACACAGCTCATGGGACATTAGTTCCCCTGACCAGGGATCAAACCCATGCCTGCTTCAGTGGAAGTGCAGAGTCTTAACCACTGGATTGCCAGGGAGGTCCCGTGCATGCGTGCGTGCTAAGTCACTTTAGTGGTGTCTGACTCTTTGTGACCTTATGGATTGTAGCCCACCAGGCTCCTCTGTCCATGGGGATTCTCCAGGCAAAAATACTGGAGTGGATTGCCATGCCCTCCTCCGGGGATCTTACCAACTCAAGGATCGAATTTGCATCTCTTATGTCTCCTGCATTGGCAGGCAGGTTCTTTACTACTGGTACCACCTGGGAAGCCTCCCAGGGAAGTCCCAAAAAGGCAAAATAGAAAAATATACATCTTTCTCTAAACCAATAAGACTTATTTCCAAGTCCACGATGTAGCAAATTGAGGGGATGGACTGGATTTTAACCTTTATTTTCATCCCAGAGCAAAACTGCATAATGGCTTAGGCCCTGTGTGGTCTTGGGCAAATTCTTTAACTTCTGTTTCTTCATCTACAAAATGGGGACTGATGTGCTTCGCAAAAGTAGGTACTCATTGAGAGGCAGCTACTATTATTCAAGGAGGATTTTGCACCTCTCTCCTCCCTGTGAAGGGCTAAAGTACTCAAGGTGCTACCACTGCCCACCCCCACCAAGTCTGGTGTACCTACCGTCAGCACCAGCAAGCACAGCATGGCCAGGGGGTAGCCCAGGTTCCGCTGCCAGGCTGAAGCCTTCCGCCGCTTCTCTGTGCAGGAATGGGAAAGCAGTTTGCAAGGGCCTGGAATGAGGAGCTTCTCTCCTTGGGGAAAGCCAGGCATCCCATTGCCTACCAACCCACATACCCAGCAAGACCCTCTGTGTCTGCAGAGCCAGGACCTGTCTGTGCAGCAGTTCCATGTCCAGGGGCAGCCAGCAGGAGGTGGGATCTGGGGGCAGAGAAGACGGTGCTGTCCCCAGGCCCGCCACCCCTGCCCAAACCACGCCCATCATGCCAGCTGGGAAGGACTATGTCTCACTGCAAATCCTGCGGGTCAAAGCTGCTTCCTCAAAGGCTGAGCAGTGCAGCTGCTCCTCCAGGTCCTCCAGGAGCTGTGGGCATAGGAAAAGGGAGGGGTGGACTGTCAGAGGCTCCTTGACCACAAGAGCCCAAGAGAACCCTGCTCACCTCAAGGATCCATTGTCCTTTTCCCTCCCTTCCCCTCATTCACCACCCTGTGACTGGCGACCTTATCCAGTCCCTCCCAACTGTCTTGTGTCTGCTCTGTATGTCTGATGACCAGCTCCAGATGTTGGGGGTCAAGGATGCAGGAGCCAGCAAAGGCTGTGGCCCTCTGCGAGGTGTCCACAGAACAGCCGGACAGTGGCTTCACTGATGGGCCCCAGCTCTTCAGAAAGCTCCCCCGGCAGGGTCCAAGGACAAGGAGCACTACATACCCGGGGCTTGACCAGCAGCTTCCCAGTGACCGAGAACATGCGGGCGAGACCCAGTGGAGTACACACTGTGGGGACAGGAGGCAGTCAGCCGCCAGAGCCGTCTCTCTACCGCCTGCCCTGCCCGCCCCTTCGTTCCATCCTCTACCGGGGGCGCTCTGGCCTTCCCCATTCCCTCCCAGGCTCTGGACACTCACCCAGGAGCAGCAGGACCCCGAGGAAGGAGATACAGGAGTAGAGGTAGGGGAGATAGTACTCCCAGAAGTCTAAAGATTAAAAAAAAAAAGGACTGTCAGCCCATCTCTCTCCTGCTGCTTACTGGGGGCTGATAGGCCCCAGAGTCCAGGCAGGCGCATGACACCAAAGTCTATAGGGACGAGGTAAGTCATGAAGATGGGAAAAACTGGCTGGCAGGAGAGGGAGTGGCAGAGACTACAGCAAACTGCAGATCCTCAGCCCTCTCTAAAGGGCACAACCACTGTTTGGCCCAAGTCACTGGGACCTAGTGTGGCCAAATCCTCAACCTGCTGACGCACAACCAGACACCTGGATGTCAGTGTGAAATCTCCCAATTTCAACAGACTCTTATTTTTTTTAAACTCATTGCATGGGCCCAGTAGAACACTTCCACAGGTTAGATGTGGCCTGAAGCCCATCAGTTTTGAAACTTCAGTCTAAGGGAGAAGGTCCCAACTTTCACCACCTTAGAGGGATACATTTGTTCTAGACAGAGGAACATGAGCCGGCTGAGGGGTGAGGAGGAAGCTGGTCTTCTCACCATAGAGGGACTCCCTGCTGGCCTTGTTGTTGTCCACAATGGCAGAGGCTACCCACACCATCCCTAGCACCAGCAGAGTGAGGAGCATCAGCATCACCACCGTTTCATAGACCCGGGCCAGGACACCCTATGGGAGGAGACAGGAGGTTTCGGGGGTGGGGAGGGCAGTGTGGGGAAGGAAGGAGACAGGGGAGATGGCAGCCTGGCTTGGGAACCAGAGAGGACTGGATTCAGGAGGCAGTAGAGGTGGTTTCCTTCTTATTCTGTTTAGTTATTCTGTCCTCCTACCCTGCAATCTGGGGCCATTCCCTCTACTGGATATTCACTTGCAATCCCACTTCCCAGACCCTTTCTCCATCCTTGTCTTGCCCTGGGAAGCTGACCCCTGAGGTCTGCATCACACAAGCTCCTTGCCCTTTTGGGACTTTCCCGGTAGTCCAGTGGTTACAACTCTGCGCTTCCACTGCAAGGGGCATGGATTCAATTCCTGGACTGGGAACTAAGATCCCACAAGACACTTAAAAAAATCAAGCTCTGGTTTTCTGTTCATCTTGCCCAATGGGGAGGGCTGGTAGGAGAGTGGAAGGTAGGAAGACAGAGAGACCAAGGTGTTTTTTCTGTGTTTCCTTCCACCTTTGGCACCTCTGACACTAGCTCCTCTCTTGGGTGGCCACACCTCTTCAACTTCAACTATCTATCAGTGGGTTTCAGAAATTATTTCTTCCTTCGGCTCCCTCAGGCCTAGGGATGGTAACGACTTCCTGTTGTCACTAGTGCCTCAAGCTCCTCAGTGCTGACTAAACCTCTGCAAATAGTCTCTTCATTAAAACCTCTTCAGTTGAACCATCTCAGTGGAATTCTGTTTCCGGTCTGCATTGATTGATTGATACATTCCCCAACTCACCTTTCTGGAGCCAGCAAAGCCCTCAGATTCAGTGAAGAAGTATGCAAAGGGCATGAGGAAGATGAGGGACAAGTTGGAGAAGAGAAAAACAAGGTTCCAGAGGCCTAGAGCAAAAAAGGAAAAGCAGAGATGGTCTTAAGGGGGACGCCCTAACCCACTGAGGACTGACCAAGGGAAGGTGGAAGGGATGGGGTGATCTATGACTCACTAGCCCCAGGCTGTCTGTGTCTGCCTGACCCGATCTGCTCCCTGTCCCCACCCTCAGCTGCAACCAGGATCAACACACCATGGATGAGGGAGCCGTTGAGCCACTGGATGTAGTAGTTCCGAGGGAGTGAGAGCAGCACCTCGTTGCTGATGATAGAGAAGGGCAGGAGCAGGACAGCACCCAGGGCGACTGCCAGGGTGAAGGTGCACAGCTCGAGCCTGGGCAAAGAAGGGGTAGTGCCCCTGCTTAGCTCAGACATTCACTTCCCTGGGTCCAAGAAGCCCCATTCATGCCATGGGCACCTGTGACTCCTCCTAGAACCAGCTGGAGCAATGCCAGACCCAGGGAAAGAGTTGGCACTCTACCTGCTGCCTCATACCCCAGCCTTCACCTCCAGGGAATCCTTGGCACACGAGATGGGCACATCTCAGGAATTCATGGGAACCTGGTCACCAGCCATGTCACTTGCCCAGACTGTCCCCAGGAATGCGGTCTTCCTGCAATGTCTGTAGGGTGTGTCAGGCATGATGCCAAGATAATGGGCCTGACTGCTCTGCTCACCTCAGGGATGTGGATTTCTGAGCCTGGAGAGAGCAGGGTCAACCCATATGCATAAGGGCACGAAAGCAGAGAGACACAAGCGGAGTTGAAACCCAGCTTCATGGCCAAGACCTGTGCCCGAGATTGCATCAGCTCAAAAGAAGGGGCACTTATCTAGCTGGTCCATGAGGGATGAGAGTGGGGGTTGCCTTTTAATTTGTTGTCTGTTGAACCAGAGGAGTCATCTCTATATTTTTCTCTATAGGTGCTAGTGGATAATAATAGCCTACAGTTAGGGCCATTCTCTCAGAACCAAGCCCCACCCTCAGGGGGTTCCACCTTTCCCATCCCCTGGCGTTTCCATCAGTCTTCATCCCCACCCCACCCCTTCTCCAATGGCTGCTGGGAGGTGGAGCCAAGTTGGAGCTGCTTCCGGGGTGACTCAGGATCCCAGCAGACAGTTCCTGGCCAAGAGGCTCCTTGAAGCTCCCGGCCAAACCAGGGAGACAGGAAGAGCGGCTTTTCCAAGCGTCCCCAGGATGGTGTAAAGCCAGAAGGGAGAAATGGGGTGGAAGCAGAAATCATCTCTTCTGACATTTCACTCTCTCCCTGCTCCCAGGGCCCCACTAGATTCCAACTTCCAAAGGCTACCAGTGCCAGGTGTTGAGGCAGCAGTACTTACGCAATCTTGTTGACTGTGGCATCTTCTTCATCTACTACAAAAGACAGAGGCATGGGGGAGAGGCAGGTCATCAGTGGGCAGCTCTGGGAACCATCTGTGTTGCATAGCGCCCTCCTGCTCCCTCCCTGTCCCTTGAAGGGGGGCCTGGGCCCACCGAGGCAGAGCAGGACAGGAGGCTCAGGAGAGCTCACACTATGAACCCCACAATCCACTCTGCCTGGGTGGCAGCTTAAAGATCAGTGGTCCCAGGGGGTGAGAACATGAAATTCCCCCACTTCCCTCCTTCCCTAGATCTTCTCCACTATAGGTTCCTCTTTATAAGCTGAAAATACAATCAATGACCAGTCTGTGAGCTTGATGACATCAGTGGCTAGGTACAGTGAAGGGAAATGGGGACAGGGGTTGGAAATCACAGAGAAAGTCCCCAGGGGAATCACACTGAGGAGTGGTTGCCTTCTTGGCTGAGGGCGCATGAAGCCATCTGGAGGGGAGGAAAGGTTCAGGCCAGGACTGGAAGATCTGGACAGGCTGGAGTTAGGAACTGGGACAAGTGCATCCCCCTCAATCATAGAGTGCCGACTGAAAGCCTTAATCTGAATTCTCTGCAAAGAGAAAGGTCACCATCACCAGGTCCTGGGACCCCAGTGGTCAGGGAGGTCCTGGGTGTAGAAGCACTAGAAGAGGACATGACAGAGCTTGTGCCCATGATAACATTCACCCTGCAGTTGCCCTGTTGAGGTTCACAGAGAGTTTTCACATTAGCCATCATATTTGGTCCACACAATACCAATGGACTGGGTAGAAATTGTTAGGCTTTTATTTTGCAGAGAATGAAACTGAGGTGATAAAAGTTACATGACTGGTCCTCCTTCTAGACTCTCCACTACACCACCTTGTCCCTGCCTGTGGAAGAAGGGAGGCAGAAGCTCAAGACCAGACACCTCCACTTTCCCAGCAAGCAACACAGCCCTCTTCCCCTGAGGCTGGTGCCATGACAACAGGAACACTGGCAGAAGGCAGGCAGGAGGGAGGGAAGTCACAGGTACCTGTGGTAAACTCAGCAGGCTTCTTGAAGCGGGTCAGGGCGATGTGACAGAGGATGTAGAGAGTCGCAAACAGCAGTGTTGAGATCTGCGGCAGAAGTGAGCAAGACGAGAAGCTTTAATCCCCACACATTTCACAGCCCCAGTGGCCTCTCTGTTAATCATGGGGACACTTTCCCCAAACTAGGCTCCATACACCCAGGGGTTCCATCTTTCTCCCCAGTACTTCCTTCTAATCAAGGCCTCAGTGGCTGGCCCATGCACTTGGGAACAGAGCACCATGTCCAACTCTATGAGGGTTTTTTCCCTGGGAGAAAATAGTTTCAGCTGAACCCTGGTTGGTGCTCATGAGCAGAGAAGACTCCTAGAGATGCACATATCCACACATCTGAAAAAGGCCACAGAACCAGAAGGGATTTCTTCCTAGCACATAAATGGAAAAGCAAGTTTGAGGGGAAGAAGGGGATGTCTTCATTGTGCTGGCACTCCACTCCCTCTCCCTCCACTCCCACCTTGATCCAAGCTCCGGGAGAGAATAGTAGGAATCGTGTTCCCAGACCAACTCAGGGCTTCTACTCTGTTTATTCAGGGGCCCTAAAAGATCAGGTCTGCTCTGGGCCAAACCAGAGTCTCTTTCATGCCCTGCGCATAACAGTAGGCTTTAATTGGGGTTCCACATCTATAAAGCTTCTAGAACTGGGATCAAAACCTTTAAAAGCTATCAATCCATGGTCCCTACCTAAAGTAATTTCCAGCTCCCAGGGTAGGTCTCTCAGGGTCTGTCCTATGCCCCTGATGACTAGTCCTCCAATGGACAGTTATGGCAGGACTTGACCAGGTTATCCTACACATGCATACATTCCCACCCTACCCCAAGTAAGCTGCTATTGCCCAGGGAAGGAAGCACTCATCACCTTCGCTCCACAATCAGGGTCAGAGAATCTTGAGATGTTATTGTGTTTAAACTGGGCCAAGAAGGCAGGATCAGTCTCACAGGTGCTCCAGTCCCCAAGAGAAGCTGACCCTACAGGGAATCTGCATATAGCTATCTATGCAAAGAGAGAAGACAGACCCCAGGAGAAACATGGGTCTAGGACAAAATTGTAGCTTTTAACAATAGGAAAGTAGAGTAGAATGAGCCACTTAGATTTCAACTCCAAGATTTTTACTGCTTAGTGCTCGGCCCTGGGCATGCATAATAAGCAGGAAGGCGCGAGGGCTCAAAAGGTCAGGCCGGAGTTCCATGCAGGTCCAGCAGAGGCCAGGTGATTCTCTAGAGTAGGGGACTGGAGCCAGGTGAGAGATGTACTAGAAGCCCTGAGGATGCCCTTGACCAGCGCTGACATTCTCAGCTAATGGGACTAAAGGATGGGACGACATCCAGGAGGCTGCTTCTCTCTCCAAGATCTCTTCCCTCCCTGTTCTCTAGGAAAGTGGGTCTCTGGCTCTCCACTGCCTAAAGGCCTGGGTGTAACTCCACGATATGCCCAACCCTGCCATGTTCAACTCTCCACTAAGAAACGCACAAGGAAAGCTTCCTGAAAGCAGATCTGGAGTTCCCACACATGGACTGATAAACTCCCTACTTTTCAGTCCTCACAGATAAAGGCAGACCTAGTTATGCCTTGGCTCACTTTAGCCCTCCTCCAATCTGAGGCTGCCCAGGGCAGACTGGAGCCCAGTCTGAGAAAAATGAAGGACGACCCCTGCAGTGGGTCCTCCACTCCTATTCTTCTAAATCTTTCCCTTTCCCTTTTATATTTGGGGGTGAGGGCAACCCTGGGGAGCTCTGAGGAAGGAGAGGAGAAGGGAAAGATATGAGAGTTTAGAGCAGATGCAAGAAAGATGCGATCCCCTAAGCTCCCCCGGGTGCCCCTGGCCCAGAAGTGAGGAGTCCCTCGCTGTGTGACCGTTTCAGCTGTTACTCTAGGTGGCAGTGAGCGAGTAAGGAAAGCAGCCAGGAGCCCTCGGTCGCACCGGGGGCAACCCTTCAGAGGAAATCCCTGAATGGCTGCGAAGCTAGGAAACTCGGCTTGCAGGGTCTCTAACAAAACACCAATAAGGGCGAGGAAAAGAAGGGGACACTTTAGTTGTTCTCCATTTCTACACGGCAGAATCCACCCCAGGAAGAGTCGTTTCCTCCAAAGTGAGAAACCCACCAAAGTTCCCTGTTCACGTCCCCTTCATCAAACATCATTTGGGTTTGAGAAGTAGTTGCAAACAAGCCTTCCCCAAGTTAAACCCATCCTTCTCCGACCATCTGATTTCTATCGGCAGGCTCACCAGATTCCCAGACACTGGAAGACCCGCACTCCGAACACGTGCGCGGGGGAGGGGGGCGGACAGAAGGGAGGGCGGGGTGGGGGAGGGGCGTGTAGAGGGGAGGAACGGAAACCGACCGGCTTTGTTTATCGCGCAGCTACTCAGCTGGAGCCGATCTAGGGATTCGCCAGCCGGAGCACTAGTCGGACCAGGGCTCTTGGTCGCTCGCCCCAAAACCAAGCAGGGTCTGCCGGCGCTGTGCCCAGGGGGTCTCACTCCGATCCGGACGTCTCCCTCTCCCGCGACACCCGTGCTTCTCCCCAACTTGGTCCTACCCTTCCAGCCCGGGTCCCGGACTCACAATGCACTCGCGGACCCGCTCGTGGAATAGCTGCTCTCGCACGGATAGCACTTCGTAGTCAGCTCCTTCCATACTCTGCTCAGCATGACTGGGGCTGGGGTGTTTCTGGGCCCGGGGAGGACCAGCGGCGATAAAACCGCCGCCGCCAAGCACCCGGACCCAGCGAAGGAGCCTTACCTTGCAGCTTGTGACGGAAACTCGGGGTAATCTGGGGCTCAGATTCTGTCGTCTGAGTGCCCCGCCCTTAAAGGGGCAGGCACCAGTTGGCCTCCTTTTAAAGGGCCCCGGTTCCCCTCTGGTCCCTCCCCTTTAAGGTCAGGCTTTCGGTATAGTTTCAACGCAAACACCCGCCAACAGCCAAGCTAAGGGGAAGCGTAGTCTTGGTTCTATTTTACCGGAGGCCGAGTGACGACACAACGGATGGGCGGGATAATTCCAGGGAGCGGAACTCATTGGCTTCTAGGGAGCTGCCGCTCTTCGCTAGAGGAACGCTGATAGGCTTACCCCGTGGAAAGAGGCGGGATCTTTGGGGCCTACCGGTGCTCCTTCTAAAAGTAAGCAACTGCCTTTTCCACCTCCCTTAGTTGATCGACCAGTGTGACCTTGGCGTAAATGAGCCATTTGAATCAGGCCAGCCAGGTGGGATATGAGAGACCATAGGGGTTCTGAAAGGTACCGCTGCTCAGTAACCCAAGATCCATAGTAGCCTTTTCTGAAAGTGTTTTTGTTGGGGTGAGGAACCCTCTGCCGCCAAGAAATTTTCATTCAGTCACTTTTGTGGGAGCCCCTATGTGTGCTGGAACAAATACCAAAGAAAACGGAATAGAAAGCTACAGGTTAGAAGTATCCACCTGAAGCTTTGTGAGGAAATGCCCACAGGGGATCATAAGCTGAGTCAAACATTAACTGACCACCTGCGATGTGCCACACACTTTCTAGATTTTATCTCATTTTACCTTTACCTGAGCAGCCCTTCAGGGAAAGGCGTGATTAGCATTTTAGATTTTAAAGAATGGTGAGAGGTTGTCACAAAATTAAGGAATGCAAGTTCGCTTCCTGTGACCTTGATCATGGGTACCAGCCCCTGGTGGCTCAGAGGTTAAAGCGTCTGCCCGCAATGCGGGAGACCTGGGCTCGATCCCTGAGTTGGGAAGATTTCCTTGGAGAAGGAAATGGCAACCCACTCCAGTGTTCTTGCCTGGAGAATCCCATGGACAGAGGAGCCTGGCAGGCTACAGTCCAAGGGGTCACAAAGAGTCGGACAGGACTGAGTGACTTCACTTTCACTTTTCATATACACACATAGGGCTTCCCAGGTGGTGCAGTGGTAAAGAATCTGCCTGCCAATGCAGGAGAGGCAAGAGATGCAGGTTCGATCCCTGTATTGGGAAGGTCCCCTGGAGTAGGAGATGGCAACCTACTCTCCAGTATTCTTGCCTGGAGAATCCCTGGTGGATTTCATACAGTCCATGGGGTCGCAAAGAGTCAGACAATTGAGCACATACACACAAAACACACATATTAGTGTTTGTGTGTATATATAATATCAATACATATGTGTGTGTATATACAGTAGCAAGATCATGAATGGACCTGAAGAGCTGATTTCCCTTTTAGCAACCAAACTTGGAGTAAACAGAATCCAATGGGGAGAGTGGGCAGAGATAGTAAGCAAATACAGCTGGCTGGGTCCTTGGCTCTGTTGCATGGAAGGAGAGGAGAGCACAGAGAAGTGGGTTGGGCCTACTGGGTGACCCTGGCACTTAACTCATCTCAAGCAAAGTACTTTAACGATCTTGTTAAAACACAAATCTGCCCCTACTCAAAATCCCTCAAAAGCAATCTACTTGTGCTTAGTGTGGGGCTGCTGGGGCTGGCAGGCAGCCCGGACCTGGGTTTCGGTTTCCCCTGAAATGGTGGGATTCCCCTCCCCCATCAGGTAACCTGGAGCCGGCCAATCAACATGCACCTAGCAAGAAAAAGGGAACCTATCAGAGGAAAGCTGAAAAGCCCGTGAATGCCCAAATTTGAAAAAAGCCCGCGAAGGTTTGGGCCAATAAGATTACTTCGCAAACATGTAACCAATCGGCTTAAGCCAGCTACCAACTGCTTATGCACACCTTATAAATTGGGTAACAGCTTGAGCTCAGCGCTCTCTGACCCCGTACCACTGCGTTGGACGCACGGCAGGAGCCCTGACTCGAGTCAGCAATAAACTTCCCTTTTTTTGCGAGTTGCATTGTCTTGGAAGCCTTCTGTCTTCCTGCTCGGGGATTCGGACATCGGGCATAACATTTGGGGGCTCGTCCGGGATCCCTTGACCAGGGAAAGAGAACACTTCCAGGACAGAGGGGAAGGATAGATATAGCACCGGTGCTCAGGCAGAACAGGAAAGTCCAGTGTAAATCCGAGGTCCTGCTGAGAAGCAGGAAGGTATCTGGCACAGGAGAAAGCTTTCTATAAATGGGGAACGGATTGGACGTTCCAGCCGGCGCAAGACCGAGGCCAGTGAGTGCGCTGGAAGGCTGCCGGCTCTGTGGGAAGGGGAGTTCCTCTCCTGATCCCGAGTCTGGTGAACAGTGGACTCCATTCGGTAAGATAAACCTGCTACAGGGAGGCAAGAGAATTCAGGGGGCCCGAAAACCCAGCGCTATGTTATTGGTCAACGTTTGTCTGTCTGTGTGTTTGCCTTCGGCTCTCTGTATTTGTGTATGCCGGCATTGTCTCTGGTCCTCTTCCTTTTGAAATCTTTGAAGACATCTGAAGTTTTGTGTCTCTATAGAAGGTTTTCTGAGAGACTGTATTCTTGTATTTAAGGGAGTGTCTGATGAGGACTGCCAGGTTTATATGTGTGTTTTAACTCTGTTCTGTGTTGTGACGGCCATTTTGCTTTGTCTGGCCACCATTTAGACCTGACGCCATTTTGTTAGGACTTGATTTTCTTTTCCTGTGCCGTGAGACCACGGCTCTCAGGAACACTTATCTAGACCATCTCTAACTCCTGAGACTGAGAGAAAAAGGAAAAAAGCCTTTAAAAATGTTATTTATTTCACAGAAAAACTAAAGAGATTTGGGACTATAAATGAATAATGTTTGATGCCATCCTAAAATGTTTTAAGAAAGCAAGAGTATTAGAAATTATCACTGGTATTTATGCTCACCAATCTATAAAATGCTAATATAAAAGTTAGCTCTTGGTTGCTAAAGGAAAGCAAGAAGTGTGCTTTCAGTTAAAAAAAAAATGTAAAAAAATACTAAAAAGAGTTATGCATGATCAGGATTTTCTAAAATTGGATTACAATCAGTTAGATAAATGGATTTTGTTAGGAATGACACGTCATAAGAAAACTGGTTAGAGCCAATTAGGTCCAAGATGGCGGAGCTGACTTTCACTAGTCCTTGAGCCTTGGTATTTACGCCCATTGTGACATATCAACAAGCTAAATGATACACCCACCAACATTGACTAAATCTGACCAAATGTTCTAAAGCTTTTAATTGATCTTTTTTGATAAAACTTCCTAAATCGAATTCTTTTGAAGTTCCTTTGACATCTAGCTAACTTTGGGATGTTTCAGAGGGCCCCTGACACATCCCAAAGAGAGATATTAAACTATTTGGTTGGTTAAATTACATAAAAAAGATTATCAAATGAGTAATAAATCCGCTCATGTTATAATGTATGAAAAATTACTAATACAGATATCCTAGAAATTATATGGAGTTCTTAACATTTTGATATGTCTTGGTATTCTAATGAAAAACCTGATGACTTCACACAAGTTAACAAAGGACTGAATGAACCAGCGAATATGCTTATAACTTTTATGGTTTCTATCTGAGAAATTACAGGTTTAAATCGTGTGTTTTCTGGGAGTAGAGAAAAAAACAAAACAATTATATTTTCTCTCTATCTGACTCCTCCAGAAATTTGAAACTCTTAAGTTTCCAGTAAGTTTATCAAATGAGCTAAGAAGTTTATCTCACTAACAGGTACAAAAATCTCAAGGAATTTTTGAGACCTTAAAAAGAAAAGAGTTCACCTAGATTTGTTAGGCAAAATCTGTGATAAGCCTTTGGTGTGAGTTTCCCAGCCCTGTTTTATATTAAAAGTTCAGTCTGAGATCCAGTAAGTGTTTCAGCAAAATAAAAAGTCTATGATCAATTATGGTTATATAAATCATCAGACCAAAATTAGTGAAAACAGACCTATTTTGCAAGCAAACTAGCCTTAATTTGGTTGTATTTGATAAAAATGAGGGTAACTGCAGGGAGAAAAAGATATTTCAAAAAAATGTTAAATCCCAGTTTGTTAATGGAGCTCTGCATATAGTAAGACTATTTCTCAGATAGTTCTTTGCTGTTATGTGATATTAATGTGAAAGTTTGTTTCTGAAGCTTATCTCAGTAATCTGTCTTTGGATGAAGATCAGATGCCTCATGACCTGCAACCAGGACTGGAAGAAGACATAATTTAAGGGACTGTCTCCAACCTGGATGGAAAGACTTTGTATCAGGAGAAACTACACTACACCAGGATGAGACGACAGTGACATCAGAGGCAGACAGCTTGTCCAAGATGCTAGACCTGATTCGTATGATCATTTATAATGTTTTCTTGACTTCTTAGACCTTTGCATATAAATCAAATGCTTTTCTATCATAGGCCTGATTCTATGTTAGTTTTAAAAATCAATCCAATTGTTGGGTTTGTGGCCAATTACCTGTATCTAGTTCTGGGTTACCTTGGTAGATTTCTCTACTACAAGATTCTAACTGGTTGGCCCTGAGGAAATTTACTTAAAAAAATATATATAGTCATATTCAGGTCACTGTGATACTACCAGATGGAATCCCCTCACTGGGCCAATTAATAATGCCTACTCTGACTCTGGCTATAAATTTGAGCCTTTTTCTATTCCTCAAGCTCAATCAGAGCAACAAGAAAAGTTTTAGCGAAAGAAAAAGAAATCTCCCACAATTATGAGATAGATTTATATAGATAACACCAGGCTATGGTAATTTAGGTTTAAAGTCTCCTCTGTGTTGAAAACAATTATATCATGCTAAGG